CACAGATTGCTCATTCAGTGTGACAGTTCCAAGCTGGAAACATGTCATATCACTTGTATTAAAAATATTGGCCTTTTCTTTATTCGACTATGTCAAGAACAGGTGTCAGAAAAACATGGCCCCTGGGAAAAGATAAGTGAAGCGATTCTTATGAGGAGACACCTATGCCTCCCTTACCAACAGCATTGCAAATGCAGCACATCTTCCCTATCTCTGATGACATTCCAGTACTCAGCCAACATTTATGCTCCTGCTATGTTCCAGACATTGTGGAAAAAATGATACAATTCTTTGTCTGAGGAACACTAACTCTAGTAGAGGTAAATAGACATGCATGAAAACGACTTAAATTCCATCATAATTAGGGAGTGTCTCAGGATGAACAAAGAGCACAGACTATACTCTCAGATAGAACCAGGTTTAAAATCCCAGGTCTAAGACATAGTAGTTGTATGATTGTGCCCTGAGCATCTTTTCTTATCTCTAAGTTATGAATGATAAAATCTCTAGGGGACGTTGCAAGGATTAAATGAGAAATTATTTAGTGGCTGGCGTATAATAGTTACATGATAAGGGAGATGAGAATAGCAACTTCTTCCTACAGAGGGCTTCTCAAACTTTCACGTGCATCAGATTGCCTGAGAATCTTGTTAATAAATGCAGATTCTGGTTCAGTAGGCCCGGGGTGCATCCCAAGATCCTATATTTCTAAGATATCCCAGAGTTATATCCATGCTATTTCTCAGAGGACTGCAATTTCCATATCAAAGATTTATTGCTTATTTTAGTTTTGGTTTTATTTCTAAGGAGCTGATGCTGGAGGTGAATCTTTAAAAATTAGTAGGTCCTATCAAGGGAGAAAATGGACAGTAGAAAGAAGGCATTCCAAGAGGAGAATGAAAATGTGGAGCTTGCCAGAGAAATAAGAAGCATGAGAGTGTGAGGGGCCTGAAAGGTGACTTGAAGAGAAAAGTTTGGAATAACAGAGAGTATCAAGACATAGGGTTTTCTATGCCTTGCCAAGGAGTTATTTATCCTGTAGGTAATGAAGGACTCACAAAAAAATTTTAAGAAGGTGTGAGATTTGATCAGCTATGAGATTCAGAAAGATTACCCTAGAAGCAATTGGAGGATAGGTTGGACGGGAGGATAATTGGAGTCAGGAGGGTATTATGATATACTTGGTGAGATAGAAGCCAATGCAGCAACCATAGTATAAGCTGAGAATAAGTGACGACAATGGGAGATATCAGGATATGAAATTTACGAAACTTGGGCATTTACTAGATATAGAAAGAGGATATTAAGATTAAGATTCTTGTCAGGTTTCTGATTTCAGTGATTGGGTAGATGATCACATTACTTTCTAAGTAATTCAGGAAAAAGAGAAGAGTTAATGAGGAGAAAAATGAGCTGAGTTTGGGAATATGTTGAATTCGTGCAACACCAAATGGAAGTATCTATTAACAAAGTCGGAGTTACAGGAGAATATTTGGGAACTGTCAGTGTATATTATGGTAGGTGCAGTCATGGAGATAGGTTTTGCCATTCAAGGATAACAGTAGGGAGAGAAGAAAGCAAAGACAAGGACAAGATGCTCGTGCAAATCAACATGAGGGATGAGCAAAAGGAGAGAAGCACACAAAAGAGACTGAGAAGAAATGATTAGAAATAGAGAAGCAGAATCATGAAGAAACCATCAGAAAAGCCTAGGGACATGAGAGTTTCTAAAAGAAATTGATCGGCTCTATCAAAAGCAGTTCGGGGTTAAGTAAATAAGGACTAAAAATAGGAACTGATGATATTTGTCAGAGTAGTTTCAGTGGAATAATGTAGAGGAAAGCCAGATTGTGATGGGTTAAAAATGAATGGAAGATAAGGAAACAGAAATACTAATGTAGAGTATTCTTTCTAGCAGCTTAACTATAATGGGAAAATTTTAATAACTAGTAGCCAGAAATAGTCCCAAGGTTGACTGTTTCATGTAATTGATTGATTGATTGGTTCATTCATTCATTCGTCTATCTCCGTAAGCATACTTATGGCAGTTGAGAAGGAGCGTATAAAGAGGAAACACTTAAAAACAGGAAGTCAAGAGAATGACTAACATACCAATACCCAGCAGAAGCAACACAAATTCATCTGAGAGTGTAGGAAATAAGGTGGAACTGGGTACTTGTGCAGATGAGTCACTAGATAGAGGTAGGAATGGACATCACATGCTTGGTAGTCCAAGTTTGTTTGTAACATGGAAGGCAGGATCATTGGCTGAGCACTGATGGAGCAACTGCATCTAGAGACTAAACTGTGTAGTGAGGTCTATCAGACTTGAATGGTTTTCTTCAGCAGTGCTTGACCCTCTGCTTGCATTTTCTTTGATACTGTCCATGAACCTTGTTGTTGCTACTTCAAAAAATTGAGGAGCATGTTTTTCATAAATAGAGTATCCTCTGATTTGCCGGTCTTTGGAATGGAATTCCAAATAGCAAGCTGGCCTTCTTCCCTCTGCACTACATTCATCTGGTTTTTCAGTCGTCAAGAAGAGATAGAGATAGAAAGATGGATTGTGTGTGTGCCTGAACATATGTTGTACTCTTTAGAAGTGATGACATACATAGAACCATCAAAGCAATCTTCCAAGGTTGCAGAATGAAAAATATGAAAACTGCTACTTTTATTCATGCAGAAATTTTACTTAGTACACGCCTTCAAACTCTTTAGTCCACATAACTTTACATGTCAAAATTCTTGTGTTCATTTACCTAAATAATCATGAGTCTTTATCTTACTCCAATTCTCAGCTGAACATCATTCAACAATGACCTTAATCAAAACAGTAGGTTAATATGCTTTGTTGACTATCTGAGCAACAGGCCACTGGCTTTGGTTTAGGCTTCAATTTTCAAGACATCTCTGCTGAATTCTGGAGGTCAAATGCAAGTAGAGACACAAATCAACCAGCTCAAAAATATTCTTATTTTCTTGGAAATGGGAGGCAGGGGAGGATGAGGAGCAGAAATACAGTTTAGGGAATAAATGTTCTAATGCTATTTTGAGTTAAATCAACTGGTAAAAAATATTATTGTAAATATCTTTGAATGAATGAAAAATCTCTATATTGACCAATCTCATCTTGACCATTCAACATGCATTTTATTTGTTAATTCAAGTGTCCCCTCTGATAGTCTTACATGGCCCCAGTTTCTTTCTAAACAACTTCTTAAAAACTAAGCACTGCAGTTTTTAAATATACACAGGCTTCCAAGTCCTTAAGTGCCTTGAGCATTTGCCTGAACTACACACTGAAGCTGATAGGTGACCAGGGATAAAGGAGCCAGGTGCTCTAGCCAACAACTTAAAGGGGGTTGTGCAATGTTTTTCCTTCCAGGTCAAACTGTGTGACTCTCCTGACTCTCTGAAAAATATCAAAGCCCAGTATTTTGAAGCATCCATCCAGGAATGTATTCCAGAGAATGTCAAAGGGTATAGACACTATTTTACACAAAGAATGTTTGAAAGAACAAAAACTATTTAATCTAGAATTTGAGGAAACTTGAGAGTTGTTCGTACTATTACACTTTCATATGCAAGTGAGAGATACTAATGCAAAATGGTTTAAGAAAAAAGCAGATGTGTTGGTTCAGGGACTCAAACTATGTCATCAGAACTTAGTCTTTCTTTCTTCATCTCTTGGTTCTACACTTCTCTGTGTTGGCTTTCTTGCCATCCATGTTTCCCCCTTCCTCGGGCAGCACCACATTTATCTCCTGTCCCCCTGGCAACACAAGTGAAAAAGGAGAATTTAGTCTTCCAACATTTCCTATGGAATTCTTGGATTCATTGGCTTTAAATGATTTGGTTTTGGTTAAATCCTCACTCTCAGCCCTGAAGAAGATACGGTCAAAGGAAAAGTGGTTCTTTAAGGAAAACTCTTATACTATTCCCACAAAGAGGGGAAAGAAGCAAAAGCCAAGCAGGCAAAAACAGTAGATATCCTACACTGCCATCAAGTTATGTGGTGGGCTTTCATGTGAATAAACTTCTATGAGGCCCCAGAAATGGGAAGTGGACTACTTGTATGAACCTTATAGAAAAGCAGATTTCAGCTCACCCCCAAAAAGGACCTTTTGACAATCAGAACCATTAGCAGTTGAAATGGGCTGCCTCAAGGTAAGCTATGTACCAAGTCCTTCCACATGTTCAGGCACAGGCCAGATGGGCAACTTTCAGTAGTATTTGCTGGGAATTCCTGCATTAGGCAGAGTGTTGCCTGCATGACCTGTAGGGTCTACAATTCTATTATCCTTGTTAATTTCCACAATTCAATTTGCAGTACAGGATAAACAAACCAACCTAATTTGATCTGGAAATTCTGCAGGCTATCACAGGTTATTTAATCTAAAACACATGGCTATAGCCATTATTATGTTTTCTGAAGTCATCTAACAGACGTGGTCCTTAACAAGGCCTCCATGTTATTAGTTTCACTTATGGCTTTTTCCAGCCTCCTGCTTATTACACAATTGCCTTTCATTCCCCTTTAGGTTGGGGTGGAGAGGAGCATGAAAGAGTTTTCTTCTTTCTTCCTTTTTCCTCTTAAATCTTATAATAGGCGAGTCCCGATTAAAATTACATTGCTTACAACTTTACCTCCAAATTCAGCTTTCACTTTGCAGGTTTTAGAATCTAAGAGAAATGGGAGCGGAGGCCATGGATAATTATAGCTCTGGACAAAGTTTATTAATGCAAATTTTCAAAGAAGAAGGAGTGAGATTTTTAAATTTGATATTAAAAATTAATTTATAAAGTAAATTTAATATACTGCAATAATGTTGGAATTAGGGTACCAAACCACCTGAGCCATACTCTTGAAGAAATAAATACATTGGTGTTAAATAGTATTTGCTTCTTTCAAAACTAAAAGCATCCAGCAAATAAAATTTTGTTTTGCCAGAGTGTGTCCATCCTTAATAACTGATTATATTCCTTGTCTTTTTCAGTGAATGTTGTGTCAATGTTACAGGAATTTTGGGAAAGCAAGCAGCAACAGAGGGCTGCGTCCCCAAGTGAAGGCGTGGTGGTCTATGAGTCCCTGCCATCTCCCGGACCTCCCTTTGTGAGTTATGTGACCCTCCCTGGGGGAAGCTGTTTTGGCAACTTTCAGGTAAGAAGTGACCATAAACTGGTAAGTGAAAGGTAATTGGGTTAAAACAGAGGAAGCCCTTTTATAAAATGGTAACATCATAAGTTTTCTTAATTGCAGTGAAAAAAGTTGTGGAATTATTTTATATTAGAGTATCCCCTGATACCTCTTCATGGAAAATGAACTTTATAGCATTTTATTTGCTTGATATCTGCTGCCTTTTCCCTCTAAATATTTTGGAATATACCTTAAAAAACAAGGGAACTTTGGCTCAGTCCTCCCATCATGGCCCTTTTATCAGTAGAAAGTCTTTAATTTCATGAATTTTGTAATCAAATACTAATCAATATAATATACAGCAAAGCATGAACCAACAACAAAGATTGAAACTCACAGGACTGGGTTCAAGCACCTGTGCTAAGCCGCAGTTCTGCCTCTGAATAACTGTATACTTTTGGGAAACTAATTTACCTTTTTGATTTCCCCAACTTTGAGATGGGGAATAATACCCACGGGGTTGGACAGGAGTCATGAGATATACATGCAATGTGTTTATTTGGTACATAGCAAGTATTCCAACTGTTGTTTTGATAATTATTATACTCTCCTAGTTGGTTAAATATCTCTTATGTTTATAATGGGTGTAAATGATGATGCATTTCTAGTTGTATACCTACTCACACAAAAACATTTGCCTACATTAACTATCAACATCTGGTTATCCAAGTGTGTGTAACAAATACTCATTGAGTGACTAGGAAATATCAAGCATTGGGCCAAGTAATGAGGATATGGTGCATATCTTGAGGAAATCTATGTATAAAAATATTATAGTAATTATATAGAATTATATTTGAGGGTCAATGAAAGTATAAAGGAAGGAACTTCTCAATTTACCAGTCACCTTTATAAGTACCCCTTTAGTACAGTACATCATCTCTCAATTTTCAATAACTATAATTGCCTTATAAGACAAAATCCTTTATTTATAGTTTATAGACAATGTGAAATCACAAGTGTTAAAATTTCTCTCTTAGCTTTGACAACTAGGAAGCTGAGAGGCAAATTTTCAGTGTATCTCTTTGTAGTATAAGTCTACAGAACTTAATGTCATGCATGCAGTTTTTAGAACTAACCTCATACTCACTATTATTTATATTTCTACCTTTACTCTCCCTTTGAATGTAGTGTGTCTCACTCATTTATGTTATCCTGTTACCATGTATCTGTTTTATGTTATTTCAGCTTTTTTGGGAAGTGAGGGTTGGATATAGTTGAATAAATAGACCCACAAACCTATGTCTGCCCAGAGGAAATCAAAAGGTTCAAGGGGAATGCAATCACAATCTGAGGTGCAGTAGAGGATATCTTTGCCAGTTGGTAAAGGGAAGATGACGTTCTTAGAGAACAGCATGTGCAAAGGCATGGAACAAAGGAAAACCACCAGCACTTTCAGAATGCTGGTAGCAAAATTGTGTCTGTGGCAGAGAAGTGGTAGGAGATGATGGTTAAGCACTCACATCAAACCATAAGGGATCTTCATGCTTTGCAAAGGAGAACAGGTTTTATTCTATATAAAATCAGAAGCCCCAAAGGGTTCAGAGCAGGAGAGTGATATATTCAAATGAGTTTCAGAAAGATTACTCTGGCAGTAGCGAGGGGTAATTTTAAGGCTAATCAAAATATTCTCTTCAAAACGTCTGACCCAGCCAGCTAAGAAGGTCCTGCCTTCTCCTACCCTGAGCAATGGTCACCAGTAGATTTTGACTTTTGACTAATGAAAGTGAATTGCCTAATGAGGATGATTTGAAAGTGGGTCTAGAAGCCTTCGTACAGGGCTTAATGTAAGCCCAGACACTTAAAACAGGATGAGGAGCAGGTAAGGAAGAAAGACAGCAACTGAGGAAGCCATTCCCTAATCTACATGAACCTGCATTCTATTACTGAGCATCCTAAGGGAAAGTCTGCCCACTCAGATGGAGCAGACTTCCCATTCCAGGTGAAACAGACCTACTCAGCCACAGAGCAAGGTCTTACCAGCCACCTGAATGAATCTATTTTTTTTGCCCATGAATGTCAGTGGGCTAAAGATCACCAAACATGTGAGGAAAGCTAAACGCAAAAGAGAAAAGGTCAAGGCAAGCGAACAAAAGAAGAGAAATGATCCACGCGGCAGAGGACATAAGAGAGTATTACAATGAGTATCCTCAAAAAATTATGGGAGGACATTTATCCCTAAAATAGCTATAGAAAATAGAAGCAAGCCGGAAACAAGAAATTTAAAATATGATTGTCAAATTAAAACAATAAAAATAAATAAATAAAAGAGAAATAAACAGATGAGTGGACATAGATGACAGCCAATTTAGTAAGGATAACAAAGTTAAAAAATAAGCAGTAAAGTAAATTTTCTAAAACTTAGAGCGAAAGACAGATGGAAAAAAATTAGTACAGAAGACGTGGGAATAAATCCTGGAGGTAAATATTAATGTAAGTTCTAGAAAGAGACAAAGAAATGGGAGAAAATAAATAACAGAATAATTTTTCTTTGAGTTAAAGAAAAGCACAATTTTTTATATTGAAATGGCCCACCATATTCCAAGCAGGATCATGATAAAAGAATCACACAGCTCTGAAGCTGTGTGGAACTTACAGATAGCATTCTGCTTAAAAGATGAATAAAGAGACTTTTTTTAAAATACAACATTTGTATATTGATCTCAGTTTTTTGTTTTTGCTTTTGTTTTTTAATCCACATTGAATGTAGATGTAGCGTAGCTTTGGGGGAGTTGATGAAATATAGCAAAAACTAACAAACGTGTCAACAAAATCAAAAACTATTTCTTCGAAAAGATAAATAAGAAAAAAAATCTTTGACATTTCTGAGTAAGAAAAAAAAACAAGACATATACTATACTAAGCATGAGAAAGGGGATCCAAATATAGGAGTGTACTATAAGAATGCTACATAAACAGTTATATTTTTAAAACATGAAAAGTTAGATGATATTGACTACTTCGTGGGAACTCTCTGTATTACCTTTGAAACTCTTCTGTGAGTCTAAATCTATTTCAAAATAAAACGTTTTATTTGTTTTGTTGTTGTTTAAAAAAAAAAGCTTCAATGGCTACCTATTTATTACCTTCTTATTAGTCTTAATGACTTATTCTGGCAACAAAGATTATACAGTTGGCTCCAACTTTTCCTTCCTTCTTTATCTCCCTGAATTCCACTTCAGACACTCAGCACTTCAGCCTAACAGTTCTTCCTCTTTGCCTTGACCTCTTCTAGCTACTCCCATACTCACACTGTGACCTAATCATGAAGTTCTGTTGCCACTTTCTCTGCATGCCTAAATATTGCCTATCTTCCAGGATTCCGCTCAAAATGTCATACTCTCCATGAATTTCCCCTGATTCTCCCTGCTAGATATCTCTGCCTCTTATTTCCCAAAGCAGTTATCTCTGTTTCTCTCCTAGTATTTTTGTATTTTTGCCTTATGCTACAGCTACTTATGTACGTGTTCTGTCTCTATAATAAAATGTAAGTGACTCAGGGACAGGGTCTGTGTTCTTATATGCACAGCACTGTGCTGTACATATAAGTGTTCAATAGATTTTGTTGAATGACTAGCTAAATGAATGAATCCCAAGAATTAATAAAATTAATGAAATTAACAAATCCCAAGAATTAATGAAATTTATATTTGTCCTTTTTTGTATATAACCACTATTGATTGATATATAAAATAGTATATACTATTATAACAATATGATATAGAAACTAAGATATTTCACTTAACTGAAAAGTAGTGGGCTGGGAAGGAAAAGTCAGTAACATTAAAATCATCTGATATTATTATGTTCCTATCTGTGCTTAAAGTTTTGGAAGTAGATTAATATGAAAGTGTTGATTTTCAAAACCTTTTAATTCTCCCTGCATTTAATTTATGCATTAGTAACTTTACCTCCACTCTATCCCCATGATCATACCCAAGATTTGGCCATACTCACATCCAGGTATGCATGTATTTGTTCATATTAATAAATACATTTATTATAATCTGTTTAGAATATAATATATTTGACAGATCAGTGAATGAATCTAGAGGATATGAATCTAAGAAATTCTAGAATTCTCGTTTTTGTTTTTGCTATCTTGAGAATTATGAATTTCCCAATTCTCTCATAAATTCCTACCCAAAATGATAAGGCTTCCCTTAGGTAGTACATGAAACATCCTCTTTGTGATCTTTAAAAAATAGAAAACGAAATGCAAAAATGAAGCTCTTCAGCAAGGAGGCCTCTTGGGGATCTCTCTGATCATTTCAGGGTCTCTTTTTCCTTATGTTTAAATGATCATATTTTAAGGTTCTCAAGAGGATTGTTAACATCCTTGTTTTAAAAGATTCGGAATTTCCTGAATCAAATATGTTTTGAAAATGTGTTTGGATGATTGGCTGCCAAATCTGGCCCCTTAACCTTTTGGCCCTCCAAAGTATGGTTTTAGAAAGGAAAACCAGAAAGTAAAAAGAAAAAAGAAAACTTTCTCTAAAGCAATATCCTTGCACTATTCTTTATCAGTTCAGAAACCATCTTAAATGCTATTTTCACCATGTAACATTTTATCACGTTTTTACCAGCAGTTGGCCTGTGAGAGCCTACATGCTCATTCTTGCAATGCCTTTCACATAATCAAATGTCACCTTTGTGCATTGCAAATCATTTCACGATGGATTATTAATGCCCACACTATGTGCTCAGACATGGAGAAACCATTATGCCAGCAGTAGCCTTCTTACTGAGCCCTGGATGTCACCTCCAATGGTGCCAAGTAATTGAAAATACTTGAAGTGGAGTATGGGACTGGATTGCAGGATTAATCCCTCTGGTTTCATGGAAACTGTAAGAGAGTATGCTCATTCATTCTTTAGAAAAGTGGTATTCAGACTGAGTTTTAGTTTTCTGATTAATCAAAGGAAAGCAGTCAAAAGGCTCTGATGGACATAAACCACTGGTTT